GTTCATTTCTTTACACCTTATTTTAGGAAGGAAGTTCATGTTCAATCGTGGGGCATCCATGACTTGTTTGTTTGCTTTTGCATTTTGTGCAGGGTCTCATGACACAGCTTGGACTCCTGTGATCCTCCTGTTTTCAGCCTCCCCAGTGCTGGGATTACAGGTGTGCGCCACCATGCCCGGACTCAGTGGCCAGCTCAGCACGCCCAAGAGCAGGACTGGTGCAGCATGTGGTGCCAGGGATTGAACCCTGGCCCCTGCGCTTGCCTAAGCAGGTGTTTAGTCTGCTGAGCCATCTCGCCAGCCCTCATCTGTGGCTTTTTAATTGGCTGTTTTGGTGATTCACTTCTGGGAAGAAACCGCAGTTCCCATGTATTGCAGGGTCTGTCCCAGGCTTCCCCTGCTCCTGGGAGCTCACTGCTTGTAGGCAGCACAAGCATGTTTGAGTTTCTGCTGTCTTCTTGCAGGTAGAACTTGTGGTAACATCACTTTGGGGGTGGGATCCAGAGCTGGATTAGGCTAAGGGTGCTGTATGTCTTGAATTCAAACCAAATGTCCTAGCAGTCAGTGCTGCTGCAGAGAAAGGCGGGCTGTGAGGCGAGAGGTCCTAGCAGTATTCTTTGTGGCTCTAAAACGTGAGACAGCTTTTCATTGAGGCTAAAGCTGAACCGGTACTTCCAATACTGTCCAGTGTTGACCTGTCTGGGTGCTGTCTCTGTCCCCACTCTGGTACCTCTTACTTGGAGCCTAACACCTGACCGACTAGAATTAAAGGTGGCAGCATTCTTACAACTGAGTCAGAAGTCGTAACCAAGAAAGAGTAGTCACTTATTGTCATTTTTATGTATTTCTTGTCTTTGCCTTCTAAATTAATAGCATTAGAAGGTTTTGTATCTGTCTTTTTTCACTTAACACCACACTGGACATGGTTTTCATGGATGTATAATATTTCAAAGAGATGCTCTCTGAATTATAATTAACTTATTGTTGTATCTCACTTGTAAGTACTGTGGTCATGCCCACTTCCCTCAGCTAGCTTTTCTCCTTGCTTTACATTATCTCCTAAGGGCAAATTCCCAGAAGTTCAAATAGTTTTGCCATTCTTGTCACCACAGCTAGGTGCTTTCTACACATCTTCTTGGTGTCTTCAAACTTTGGCAGTACAGGAGACTAGTGGTTTTGCTCTGTAATCTTACTAAATTGTTTACGTTACTTGGTAGGTTCTTTGGAAGTTTAGTTTGCATTTTAAGATATTAATGAAGTTGACAATTTCCATGTCTGTTTCACTGGGATTTTTCTTCCTTTTATATAATAGAGTTATAATTCACTCATAGAAATTGTACAATTTATTTGTTTGTTAAATTTTTTGAGATGGGGTCTTCTGTTGCCAAGGTTGGCCCAGAACTCTTAGGCCCAAATGATTTTCCTGCCTAAGTTGTTTGAATATTTGAGTCTGTAGGTATGCACCACTCTGCCTGTTTGTCAGTGGTTTTTAATATATTTGTAGTGCATAACCATCCTTTAATTCCATAACTGGTATTTAACATTTTCATCACCCCCAAAAGAAACCCTGTAACAGCCACACCCCATTAATGTCCAATCAATCTCTCCAGTCCTAAAACCTACTAATCTATTTTCTGCTTTATAGATTTGGATGTTGTGGACATTTAATATCAATAGAATCATAAAACATGATCTTTTATGACAGCCTCCTTTGGCTCAACCTAATGTTCTCACAATTCATCCATGGTGTAGCGTTTCTCAGTACTTTATTTCCTTTTATTGCTAAATAATTTTCTATTGCATGGATGTACTACATTGTGTTTATTCATTCATTATTAGATAGACATTTAGATTGTTTCCACTTCTAGGATATTATGAGTAATGCTGCTATAAATATTCATGTACTAGTTCTTATGTGAACAAATATTCTTATTTTTCTTGGATATATTCCTAGGAGTAGATTTGCTCAGTCATGCGGTAACTTATAAGCATGTTAGACCTTGATATAGTCTTTTTTTGTGTCTAATACTTTGTGTCTAGATTTTGCCAAAACCATTTTTATTTATTTAGTTTTGTTGTGCTGGGGATCGAACCCATGGCCTTGTGCATGCAAGGCAAGAGCTCTACCACTGAGCCACACCTCCAGCCCACTGTGTCTAGCTTTTGAAGTAGTGATTTTCTTATAATTTAAATAAATTATATCATGAATGTGTTACCCCTTTATCATATGTAGTCTAAATTTCCCATTCAGCAATTTATCATTTTTAAGTTGTTCATAAATTTTGAATCTGGATACAATTGAATATGATTTTTAAGTCACATTTTGTTTCTTTTACAGTTTGAAAATTCAAGTAAGTCCCTTCTAGGATTTGAAAAGTTTTGATTATTTACCATTATGAAAGAAGCTCAACTCCTTGGGATTTATTTTGGTCTGTGATATTAGATGTGACTCTAAGTTATTTTTCCTCAAAATTCAAGGCCATTTTTAGAGGCTTTTGTATTTTCCATATTTTCTACAATCCTACATAAGTTTTGGATTCCCTGTCCTGTCCTAGTAATCTTGTGTTGCTCTGATGTGATGCTGTTTATTTAGGATAGACCTCACGTCTGAAAGATTAGTAATTGTTTATTACTTTCAGTTTTCAGCATGTCTGTTCTTTTCTCTTTATGCTTCTAAGTAAACTATAGAATAATTGTGTTGAATTCAAGAAGAATCTTGTAGGGGCTTGATTGAATTTGTATTAATTAATTCATTACATTAGATGGCTATATTTAGTCTTCTGTCATCTATAATCTTTTCCCCATACCATCAATACTTTTTGCTTTACAAATTTAAATAAGTTTGGTTTACTCCTTTATCTTTTCCATTTTTATTAATGTGACTTGATGGTTCTTTTCATTATATTAGCATACATTTAGGCCAGGTTTTTTATTTTTATTTTTTTATGTATTTGGTGCAGGGTTTCACTAAACAGCTCAGACTAGTCATGATTTTCCTGTTTTTAGGCTTCCCAGCACTGGGATTACAGGTGTGTGCCACCACGCCCGGACTCAGTCACTGGCTCAGCACGCCCGGGGGCAGGGCCGGCATGGCCTGCGGTACCCAGGATCAAACCCCGATAACTGCGCTTGCCTAAGCAGGCACTTAGTCCGCTGAGCTAGCTTGCCAGCCCTTATACCAGTTTTATAAATTCATTTACACAAACATTTATTGAATACCTTTATATGGTGGACGCCGCTTGACACCAGTACCACTAGAATAAAAAGGCCACAGCACGTGCCCTACCTCATGAGGACACAAGCCTATACCAAGCATGAGCGTGGTTTGGTGGGGAATAGGCAGAGCTGAAAAGCCAGAGAGACAGGGCTTGCGCCAGTGAGGAAGCTCAAGGACAGCTTCTAGAAGCGATGACAGCTGTGCAGAACCTTGAAGGCTGACAGTAGCAAGATGGGATCGTTGGCTGTGGTGGTACTGAAGTCTTCTTTAGAAAAAGAAATAAAGTTGATTCTTTTCATATTTCTAAGAATATGAGTTCTGTGGCAGATGAATTTTTGTTGTCATTTATTCCTTTCTAATATTTTCCATTTTTTATCTCCTTCATGTCTTTTTGTCAGAATCCCTACAGCAATGTTAAGAAATAAGGGTGATGGTAAATCTCCTTATTTTGTTTCTGTTTGACAGCAACTCTTTGGTGCGTCTCCACTACATTTGTGATATTCACATGCTTACTCATTTGCAGTTAGAAGCAGCCATGGAAAGCAGGTGTTATTCCCTTTGCATACATAAGACAGTGAGATCCACAGGATTGGAGTGCCCAGCTCCGCGGGCTGCGGAGTCAAACTAGACTTTGAGCTTGTTTCTTTCCACCTGGAATCTTTGTGCTCTCCTTTGGTCCCGTCATGCTTTCTGGTTTGTTGGGTGGATACTTTTTCCAAGGTAGCATGTGGTTATAGGTGTAGGAGAACATCACATGTATCTTTGGAATCCGAAAAATAAGAAAAGAAAAAAATTGGAACAGAATCGATATTTGAAGAACAGCTAAAAGTTTTTCAAAATTACGGAAACACAGCAAAATCCCATTTAACAGAGTCTGGGAGAATCCCCATCAGGATCAATGCATATACTTGGACACATTATAGTTAGACTTTTGCAAATCAAAGTCAAAATCTTAAAGGCATCCAGGAAAAAGAAAACTTTAAGTACAAAGAATGAAGTTCCAATTTACAGCAGACTTATCGGAAATTCTGTAAGTCAGAGACACATTTGTGTTAGTGAACTTTCTGTTGTGACAGAATGCTCTAACAGACAACTTGAGAGAAGAAAAGATTCAGCTTGGTTTACAGTGTGAGTGATTACAGTCCCTGGTCACTTGGCCCTGTTACTTCCAGCCTGTGCAAGGCAGAGGATCACCATGGGAATTGCCTTGTGAAGCAAAAGCTGCTCACCAGTTGTAGCTAGGAAGGAGGGTGGAGAGAGGGAGAGAGGGAAGAAGGGAGAAGGAGAGAGGGAAGGAGGGAGAGGGAGAGAGAGAGACAGACAACAGAGAGAGAAAGGCAGACAGATGAGAGAGAGAGGGGGGAGAGAGAGATAGAGAGAGAGAGAGAGAGAGAGAGAGAGAGAGAGAGAGAGAGAGAGAGAGACAAGGATTCCACTGTGTCCTACCCCGATGACCTAATTTCCTTCCAGTTGGCCCCACCTCTGAAAAGGTTCCACTAGTTCCAGATAATGTCATGAAGTGGAGACCAAACCTGTACAAACCTGTAACATATAACCCTTTGTCAGGGACATTTGGATCCAACACCTTGGAGGTACTGGAGGAAAAATGATCTAAACTATTTTTCAATTGCTACACACAGTAAGCCATTAAATGTAAATGGCCTAAACATTCCAATTACAATTTAGAGAAGAGTCCGATTTAGTAGTGAGACCCTGAACACCCTGTAGACCCTTCCTTAAAAATAAAAATAAAAAAAGCAAGCATACAATTTAGAGATTTTTACGTCAGACGGGTAATGTGCCCACGTCGTAACAAGGTTTGAGGGAGGCACATCTCATGCAGTGTAGGACATGAACACCCAACCATCACGCTTATAAACCGAAGGATCTAGAGATTTTTGGATTGGACAGAAGAGTAAACATAACTATATTCTATACAAAACAAGGAAAATAATTTAACATATACATAGGCAAGTAGTAAAAGTATATGCCCTCAAACGAAAGCTAGGATTTCTGTATTATAATGGAAACTTAGGTACAAGGAATATTGCAAGAGATAAAGGAAGCACCAGTTTACCAACAAGGGTCCAATTTATCAACAAGACATTATAATCCTGATAAGAGATCTTTGAAATATATCAAACAAAAGCTGATAGAAGAGCTTTGAAACATGTAAGACAAAATATGCAGAAGAACTTATAACACTAAATGCTTATATTAGAATGGAAGAAAATGCTCAAATCAATAATCCACAACTCAAGAAATTAGAAAAAGAACAGATTAAAACCAGAGAAAACAGAAGAAAGGACATCATAAGGACCAGAAATCAGAAAAATAAACAGCAGAGAAGAATGACTGATCTTTAAAAAGTGGTTTTTGAAGAGATCAAGAAAAGATCAAGAAAAAGTAAGACTGAGCAAGAATAAAAGAAAGAAGACACAAGTTCCCAGTTCCCAGAAATAATAATGACACACTATGCTTGACCTGCAAAATTCGAGAGTTGTAAAGGAAAATTACGACCAATTTGTGCCAATAAATTTGATCACTTTTAAAAAAATAGAAAAATTCTCTGAAAGACACAAACTACCAAATCTTACCCAAGAGGGAAGAGATAACTTGAATACCACTATATCTATTTTTAAATTAGATTTTTAGTTTAAATAGAGAAAACAGACAGGAAAAGGAATATTGTGGGACTGTCCTGCTTCAAGGTTGTATATGGTGAGATTTTTGGACTTATGTGTAAACATAAGAAGTATATAATTCTTTATGCCTATTTTAAAAATATATTCTAATTTTTAAATGTTTTTTTATCATATTCTGTAGGAACTTAAAGTTCAACATATCAATACTTGATGAAAAATACCTGTTACATATTATGCCTAAAATGTTTGATATGCAGACAGATAGTGAGGTTAAGCTTAACAGCCTAAGTTGTATGGTAATAACAATAAGCTTCTCTTCTGGAGGGTTAACAACCTAAGTTTGCAGACCAAAATTAGAGAGAAAGGAGGGCTGCGAGGAAAGCCAACATTTTGGCCCTAGCCTTCCAAGGTCAATTAAGACTCAGGACATATGAGAACTTGTACTGTAATGTCATGTAACTCGGCAGTGTCCCAAATTTTCTGATCAAGGAGATTATGGGGCCAAAGAGGAAAGTGACTGATGATGTAGAGTGTGCCTAAGGAGAGTCACATGGAGAGAAAACACTCTCTCAGGCTTTCACAGAGAGCACATTGGCCAAGCAATGGCCGTGACTCATCTTCATGGCTGACACTGACAAAGGATCTACAATCTGAGGTACAGGATCTCAGGATAAATCCTGAGGGGATTTCACTGACCTTATCAGACCCAAAAGCTACAACTCTTGTTGCATAGGTCCTGCTTTACCTTGGTCTTAACCATCCAGTAGAAAAGTATGAAGACGAAATATAGGAAGTAAAGCCATGTTGTTATGTTGAGCTGGGGGGACTCAGGTCAACAATTTCTGACATTGCCAGTCAAGCAGAAGACCCAATACTATTATGGGCTACTGGACTCTTTTGGAATATTTTGCTGAGTTTACACACCTATAATATTCAAATAATGTAACTTAACAAAAAAAGGGTATACAGACAATTGTATCTGTGTATTCAAAGTGGTTTGGATAGATATATAGTTACATTCTTTTAATGAATAAAATGATTCTTGTACAGCAATTAGCCACTAGGAAGAATGTATGCAGTGTGTTAATTATTGAAACTGTCATACCAATTTGATTTGCAACTGTCTCATTGCTATTTGTTTATCAATAAAATTATGGGGAAAAAGAAAGTAAAGCCATATTAATATATTGAACTGTAAAATGCTCAAGACAACAACTTCTGACAATTTCCAATTCTTTTGATAACCCACTGCTATTATGGACTATTGGAGTATATTGGGTTATTTTGCTAAATTCAATTACATACAATCTTTAGACTGGCTTCAAGTATGAAAAGGTCCTTTAAAGACTTCTCCAAATACAGCTTCTCAGAAATACAGTGAAGTCCATTTTATATAAGAAGTTGTAGTTGAGTTTTGATTGTTTTAAAATTTAAAATGGCAATCTTTATGTTTTAAGCATGGTCTTTGGAAAATTAACATTTAGTTTGTTGATTGTTGTGGCTATGTTTAAATATATCATTTTATCATTTGTTTTTTATCTGTTCATTTTTTTTGTCTTTTTAAAATCTTTTTGATTAATGAATTTTTTTGTGGTTCCTTTTTAAATTCCTTTATTTCTTATGTAGCTTTAATTTTTGTTGCCTCTGTAATGGATACTTTACATGGCTCTCATACCTTTTTAATAAATGTCCACCTATAGTGGATACTATAAAAAAATAATAAATAAATAGAGAAAACTATAGAGACCGGGGAGATAACTCAGTAGAATAAGCACTTGCCTGTCAAGCACAAGGTCCTGAGTTCAAAACCCAGTACCACTCCCCCAAAACAATCTCTCTCTCTATATATATATATATCTATATCTCCAGTTGGGCTCATTGATGAATTCCCATATTTAAGGAAGAAATGCTGTGAGCATTACCCTAGGTTCCAGAAGATTGGAGACAGAAGATCGGAGACAAGGAAATACTTTCTAACTCATGAGGCTAATACTTCTTCTGAATATTGACGCAAACATCCTCAACAGAA